GAGCTTCCCTGCAGCCCCGTGCTTCCCTGAAGCCTCGTGCTGACCGAACCTGACACAGGACACATTCTGTTCCACCAAGCGGTGGCATTATAGAAGGAGTGCATCTTGGTGTACATCAATGTCTAGTGAAATATGTATATTGTCATAGATTGATTGAGAGCCTTTTGTGCAGGGACCTTGGTTTCTGGATTCTCCAATAACTTCTTTCCATAATGGGCTAATATTTCAAGATATCTATAAGATATCTTTTAGTGAGTCATGGAGAATGGAGAGTCTGTATTTTTCCCCTTGTTTTACTCAGTGTATGTATTATTTTGAAGAAAGATGGTCATTTGAATAACCCAAGAGCAAAGTTTGCTATGTAGGTCAATTATATGTGCCGGAGGTCTTAAATTGCATATTCATTCATTCATTCATTCGGTAGCCCACTCACCAAGCAGCTAATGAAGGACTGAAAACTTCTAAATACAAATAAGGTTCATAGTTGAAATGATCAGGTGGATTAATCCTTGTCAATCAAGACAAAACACCCCATAATTAAACTACAATCCCACCAGTTATGTTGCTATTCGGGGTTCCAGCTTTCCTGCTTATGGTGATGTTGACTCTAACCAATAACAGTAGAGAAACCACTCCACTGACAGACAAATGTGGCAGGATGGCTCCAGTGAATATTTCATCCATGGGTCTCTTGGCGTTTTAAGAAGGCCTATGGAAGGAGAACTAGTTGTGCCTGTCAAAAGAAGAATAACTCTGTTCTTAAAGACTGAAGAAAATCTGAGAAACGCCTATCTCCAGCCATATGTCATAAACTGAATTAGCTCATCAGTGGATGGTTTTATACTATTTGATTTTCCCCCCGCCCTACCTTTTTTTACCCTTTTGCATGAGTTAATTGTGGTGATCTTTGATTGAAAGGTAAATATTTTCATTGATTGAAGGTTATGCAGTCAACAGCCAAGATAGCAAAGTTAATATTATGGTGGCAAAATTTGTGATTTATAAAACTGAATTTTCAGACTAAATATGAAATATTTTAAAACTCAGAATAAAACCATGAAATGGAACAGGAATTTAACTATTTTATTTCATTGTCTGCATTTCAGTAGTTTCAGTTTGATTTAATATTTTCTGTATGAAATGAATTATGGGATTAAGCAATTTGAACAAAAGCAGTCAATATCGGTGAGATTATCAGTGTGAAATTCTACTTTTCTCTTAGATCTTCCACCACCTTCAACAAGAGAGAGACCACCAGGATGCAAAACTGTGTTTGTTGGAGGATTACCAGAAAATGCTACAGAGGAAATTATTCAGGAAGTCTTTGAACAGTGTGGTGACATCACAGCAATTCGAAAAAGCAAGAAGAATTTTTGTCACATTCGTTTTGCAGAAGAGTTCATGGTTGATAAAGCCATTTACCTTTCTGGTATTTATCACATTCTTCAATAAGTCTTCTTCTTGGCGTCTCATTTGTATTGTGTGTGATTCCCTTTTCTATTACCTATATATCTCAGTAAGTGAGCTTTCTCTCTTGACCTTGGAGAAGGACTTGCAAGCTCATAATCCCAATTCTTTCTTTGCATCCAAGAATTTCACAGTTTTTCCTTTGTATTTTGCATGTTTTGTGTAATTTCTTGCTTCCCTGTGACTAGAAGTCTCTAACTCAGTAATTTGAAACATTTAATATGTGTGGATTTATTTTCTTATGCTTTGTAGTTTATCCCTCTGCCATGAAATGATAGCTATTGGTTTCTTTTGTATATCACTTTAATTATCTACTAGGTTTCCAGCAGTTAAGAACAAAAACCAGAAAGATATAGTAAAAACATGATTAAAAGAATGTTACATTCCTAAGAGATCCAGGTTGCTGTAGTGGTTAAAGGCACCAGGCTAGAAACCAGGAGAGTGTGAGTTCTAGTCCTGCCTTAGGCATAAAGCAGCTGGGAGACTTTGAGCCAGTCACTCTCTCTCAGCCCTAGGAAGAAAAATGCAATGGCAAACCACTTCTGCAAAATGTTTTCCACAAAACTGTACAAACCTGTCCCGGCAGTTGCCAGGAATCAAGATTGACTCAAAGGCAGGATACAAGAATCTAATAACAATAACTACTTAACCAGTAAAATTAAGACAAGGTGGTTGTTCCCTCACAAGGCTCTCTAGAACAGTTTCATCTTCACTAACTTCCAGAAAACTGTCAGAGTCAGCATCAATTCTGGCCTGTTGGGGGTACTAGCAAATTCTCTGTTGCGGAATGTGTTGGTTCGGTAAATTCCACCTAGAAATGGTCATCCTGAAAGTACTAGGAGTCAAACTATTGACACACTGTAAATTAAAACCATTTTGAACTGTACCTGAAAACCTAACTACAAAAGTGTTAGTGACTATCCATTCATAAAATCAGTCCTGTGGTGAACGTGGCAGTCATAAAACATCCATTTGTTAGACTGGAGTGTTAATTTCCTGTACCCCCCCTCCCTCTGTACCCTGGGTGGTCTCTAACATGTTACTCATGGTTTGTATGTGTGTACTCTTGAGTTGAGTTGAGTTGAGTTGAGTTGAGTTGAGTTGAGTTGGGTTGGGTTGGGCTGTGAATGTCTGTGAAGCCTCTGTA